TAAAAAAAAAAAAAAAAAACTATTTGTCTTCGAGACATTTGCTATTTAACATACATTTTATGTATTCTAACCCATAAATTTCATATTATTACTATAATTGGCTTAAAATAAACATAATTTTATCACGTGAGTCACGTGACTCTCTACTCCATCATCCTTTCATTGTTAATACTATGCTAGCATAAATATGGTTCACTTGGACTTATAAAAATAAAAAAATCTCATCTAAAACACACATGGGTCTCATTTTGGGCGTGATTGTTTCTACCTCTATGGGTTAAAGTCGACCATATTTATACCAACATAACATTGACAAGGATAGGGTAACATAATGGGATTATGCTTATTTTAAGCCATTTACAATAATAACATGAAGTTTATGAGTTAAAGTATAGAAAGTATATGTTGAGGGGCTAATAGTATCAAACACAAATAGTTTAAGGGCTTCCAAGGGTTAGACCCTAAATACACCACAATTAAGCCTAACAAACAGGCGGGTCGGGTCGGGTTTGGATTGAATCAAATCGGGTGACGGATTATATAAGTTAGGTCGTAAACAGGTTGTGGGTTAGAAAAATCCAATTCTAACCTAATCCTAATGGGTTACAGGTTAACATGCAAGTTAACTTTATTTTCATTATTTATAATTATTTTTATTAATTTTATTATATACAAATAATATTATATATATTTAAATCTAATTAAAGTATTGTAACTCATTAACACTAAACACTTTATAGCTTCAACTATAAATATTAAATTAAAAAAATTATAAAGTTATAAACAATAGTAAGTTGATTAACAATATTAAACTTAAAATATTTAAATTTTTTGAAAAATAAAGTCTTAATTTTACAATTATCTTAAAACATTATCATGGAATTTAAGCCCCTTTTTTTTATGATGAAATTACTTTTCCAAGAACATCTTTCACTAAATTATTATGTTTATATCTTACCATCACATCTTTAATATTTTTAGTTATATTATCACTTAATTTATGATACTTAGTAATTAAATCAAACTCACATAATTTTAAAAAAAAAATTATAATAAGTAAACACTCAAAATAAATTCAAAACCATTTGAATAATAGAAATAAATTGAAGAGTACGAAATTACTAAAAAAAATTACTGATAAAAGAATTAATTAAAATAATAAATATAAT